CTTGGTCTTAATACACAGTAGGCAGAGATTTGCAGTCACTGCATATTGAGTATAAACAGGCAAGAAAAAAAGAAACAGCAACATTTCCAGCACCAAACATGTCAGAGTGGAATCAAGTGTCCAAAGGAGAGGTTGTAAAGTGGACAACGGTCGACCACTAGAGAAGCTCATCCTGTAAATAATGAGAACTACTAAAGAAATACGCATAGGGGAAAGAATGTGTTTCCCAAAGACTGGCAAACTGTGAAGCCTGCAAGAGGAATGATAAAAACATACCTAACTTGTTCAGAAAGGAAAATAAATTGTTATAATACTTATGAAGACAACTGCACAATCTAATAAAGCTAGAGACATATGCATTCTACAATCGAGCATTTGCTTCTGTGGTTTTTTTTTAAAGCTTGTATAAATGCAGTAAGAGATAAGAACAAGTATATTTACTAAAAGATGTTTTGCAGAATTGAAAAACTGGAAATAGCACACATTATCAACAGGAATAAATGAGTATATAATGTCACAGTAATGCACTGTATACCATTCAAGTGCAATAAATACATCTGTATGCCTCATGAATAAATCTCAAAAACAGAACTTATCAAAGCAGGCAAGTTCCTGCAGGTCCCACTGGCAGATTACTTCTATATAAAGTTAATCACATTGTATTTTGTATACAAATACACAGAAACATGAACAAACGACTCACAGACGGCAATAACACAAAATTTATGACAGTTGTTACTTTTGAGCAAAATGTGATTAAAAATAACAATGAAAACAGCAACAGGGTCAATGTTTAATGTAAAGTATATAGGTATGAAGCAGAGAAAACAAAGCATTGAGACCTGACCAAGATGGATACCAGGCATGGGGAAGTTCGATACACTTCCCTCTCATTTTCCGTGAAGATTCCACAGTAGCCGTGTGGATAATGGAACATGGTGGGGGCGGGTGGGAGAGCAGCAAGGAGGAGAACAATGAAGACGCTTTCCCGTCAGTGGGAGCAGTGACAGTGCAGATGGGAGGGGGAGGCAGGAGGAAAGGGTGGATGTCACATACACAGAAGAGAAAACCAGCAAAAGCGGGAGGCGGAGCAGATACAAGAAGTACAATGGCAACATTCTGAGCTCAGTGTAATTCTTCCGGAATATCAGAAAGCAAAAGAGGTTTTTACAACAGAGTTCCTGTGTGGAAGAGCTTGTTCAAGGTCCCAATGGACAGGCGAGGCAAAGTCGATGGCAGCACAGGCTTTAGATAAGGCATCCAATCAAATACGGATCCAAAATACACAAACAGATTTATTCAAACATTCAAAGCCTCACTTCCCATGTTTATAAAATGAAAACTGTTAACAAAATAACTATTTCCATACTGGTTTTATGAGAAACAATTCTTGTTAGGTTCTGAACAAAGAATCTGAGAGACTAACTGTTCAATAAATGACCAGCTTGATTTACGGCTTCTTTTTCACTCACAAGACGTGGTTCTTTTTGTTTATTTGCTTTGTTTGAGACAGGGTTTCTCTGTGTAACCCCTGGCATCCTGGAACTCGTTCTGTAGACCAGGCTGGCCTCAAACTCAGAGATCTGCCTGCCTCTGCCTCCTGAGAGCTGAAATTAAAGGCGTGCGCCACCACGTCCCAGCACAGCCCACAGTTCTAACACATATATCATTTATGACTCTTTGGTGGGTGAACCCACCTTGGTATCCGAACTATTTATTTATATGTTTTCTATAAGTTTTTAGAGAAATCGCTCAGTGGTTAGCATCACTTGCTGCTCTCCCACAGGACCTGTGTTCGGCCTGGCACCCACATCAGGTGATTCACAATCACTTCTAACTCCAGCTGGAGGAGGAGCTGGCACTGCTGGCTTCCATGACCACCTACATTAGTATTTCATGTCCACAAAAATATACATGTAATTTCAAAAAATTAAACCTATCTTTTAGGAAAATTATCAAGATTCTTAAAACCATACCTTACCTAAAAATATGGCTGACAAATTTCACATAAGTCAGTATCATTTCCCAATATCAAACCTATCACCTGGGAGTACTAAGCTTGAGTTATAGGCCCATCTTCTGTCTAACTCTACAAAAAGCATATATTTAAGTTAGTAGAAAGTATATAAGCTATACGCCAGGACAATAGGGGTTCTGACAATAATTAAGGTAGAAATAGAACTAACCCAAATTATAGTTTACATTTTGCTAACAAGTATAATGCAACATAATGGTAAAATAGGAGACATACACAAACAAACTTACAATTTGGGCACTAAGAAGGAGAAATATTGATAAGAAGCCTAAGACATTGATATGACATGTAGGGACTTTCTTTTTTAACAGTCTTTTAATTCTGCTTTACTTTTTACTTATTTAATTGGACACACAAAAGTATACATAATGTATTGGTAGGGACTTCTTAAAAACAAGGTACTATCTATCCACTTACTTTTCTGAGACGGGGTCTCAGTGAACCTGGAGCTGCCTACCCATTTTGAAAACTTGAATGGCTGGCCAGCAAGCCAAGAACTACCCACCCGTCTCTGTCTTAGAAGCTTTCTGCATTTTTAAGGTTATAGGTATATGCTGCCATACTCAGCTTTTACAGAGGTGTTGGGGATCACAAATCAGGTCATTATGCTTGCTCACCAAGCACTTTTACCTTTGAGCTGTTTCCCCAGCTCTGTTCTGAATATTTCTGATCTACGATTGGCTGAATTCAGCTGCAAAAGCCAGGACATCGAGGGCTGGTCACATACAGTACTTATTAAATGTCCTAAGCTCTGTTGCAGTAGCAACAACACCAGCCTTCCTGGTCTGCTAGTGGCAGTGCAAACAACTCTGGAAAGAAGAACAAACAGCAAACTGAGAACTCCACCAAGACCCATCAACAGACAAGCCAGACACAAGAAACGGGAAGCTCGGCCTCACACTGGTATTAGTCAAGAGGAATTTAATGGTTTGCGTCTAAAACTGTTTTTCTAAGGCTTCCATAAGGGGGCTTGATTGATAGCTGAGAGCTGTTTGAGAGGTGACTGGATCATAAAGGCCTCTAACTTTACAATGGATTGATATATTATTAATTCATAGCTGAATACACTATCAGAAATAAGGCCTGGTTGGAAGAAGTATTTTTGGAGGTGGTGATTCTCAAAAGGAACTTGTGCTGGGCTTTTCCTAAGATGAATAGCTCTGTCTACTAGGCCTTCTTGTTGTCACAATTGTCCTCACCACAGACCCAAAAAAGTGGCTCAGTGCACAGAACGGAAACTTCTGCAACTAAAAGCCCAAATATTCTTGAAGTTGTTTTTCTTGGAAACTGACTTACAAATCAGTTTTTAAGGTATTTACAAATACCTTAAAATCATCTAGGATTAAATAGTTCTGATAAACAGGATAAAGTGCAGGCACCAAAAATATTAAATTAAAAGAAGCAGTGATTTCTCTTACCAGTCTGATGACATGTAGATCTTTTCCTAATATGTAAAGGAAATTAATCTATCACTCACTTTTTTCATAAGGACCTTACATTAAAAGCTCACATATGTGTATGTATGTATATATGTGTAAGTTTTGTAAACAAAAACTTTGAAGAAAACTCAAATCTCACCTATCTAAAACAATCAGTCTCTTTTATATTTTTCCCCAAGCACTTTAAGGAGAACAATAAGAAAGCTTTCCCTTCCACATTATATGGTTCTGACTGAGGATTTAAGCCAAATAAACCTGGTAGTAGTAATCCTGTATATATTTTGTCTTAGTAACTACCTTAAACAGCTATTCTTACTCTTTTTTCTTCCTAACTATGTCATTTGATGGTAGTTAAATTCCAATAAAATTCTAAATGTAAATAAAATGTCATATATATTCAAGAAAGAAAACATCAAATTGTAACACTTCCTTAAAAGGTAAAGAAAATTTTACCTGAAATGTTATCATAAAGGATAATCAGTCTTTTTTTCTTTTCCTGCCCTTTTGTCCCCCACCCCCTTTTCAGTACCATTTAAACCCAGGGCCTTATGCTAAGCAAGTGCTTTACCCTCATACTATGTTCCTAGCACCATAAAACAGTCTTAGAGTAAAATAATGTTTTGCAACTAGTAAATAATATTTTGTGGTATTTGCATATAACCTACACAGATCTTCCCTGATATTTTAAATCTTCTCTAGATCACATACAGTATGTACAATCTATTTCTTTGTACTTGGTACTATGTATTTATAACTTGGATTTTAATTTTTTAATGAAGACCTAGTGTATGTACAAGAGTTATAGTAATCTCAACATGATTTTAGGAAAGGTTGACAAGAAAAATAGTCAAAACATGTTTAATACAAATGTAATGTTATTTTCAATGCACAGTTGGTTGAACCCATGGATACAGAATCCATAAATACAGAAGGACATGTATACTCCTAAGTATTCCCTTAGGACTCACATAAACAAACTCAATAATCTTTTATTATGTTTCTAAATGAATTTATTTAAAACTTGCTGATGCTAACCTTTCAATTATCACATTACAAGTCTCCCAACATTATGGTGATTTAAATGCTGTCTGTTTGGTATACATCTAAATTCTCTAGCCCATACGATTTAGCATGTAAAAATGCCAAGGAATGACTAGAATAGGAAATCACTTAAATGTCAGAACCTCCCCAACTTCAGAACTTTTAAAACAGCAAATCTTGTTTCTAACCTTGAAGTATGAAAGATGTTATCTATTAAGGTGTATTTGTAATCCAAAGTATTTAATAACTATCCACATAAAAATATTCATTATTCCTTTAGAGAAAATGATAAATGTATGTATAAAACAAGTAAATTAATTTTACATTGTGCTTCAATATCAATTCAACAGATGAATTCAGCTATCAATTACATGTCTGTGGTAGAGTTACACAATATCTCTATCACTCACCTCCCACCTGGTATGTGTATATACCCATGATCATCCCCAGTAATACATTAAAGCTTTAGGACAGTAAAAACCTACCTTTGAGGTTCTTTGAAGTTGATCACCAACATATGTTTTACGAAACTGATCCAAAAACCACAGAATTGCAAGTTCTATTTTTTCATTGGTGCAGCGAGGCAATCTGGTATCCATTAAAGATATAAGCTGAAAAACGCTTTCCATGAAGGAAAAAAAAAAGCTTTAATACAAATTCTCAAAGAAACAATATTAAGGTATTTATTATAAACATATAATCACTCTAAAAAGTGAGAAAATACAAAAGCATGTCCAGAAACTGTTATTTTAATCACCTGAAACCTCTGTAAGACACAACTGATCTATATCCTCCTAGTCTTTATATATAAATATAAATCTCCTACAGGTGAGCATATACAAACTATTCCACTAAAGGTTATATATAGATGCATGACATATACATATAGAGAGAGATAAAAGTAAGTATTCTTGTATTTTTAAAGGATATTAAATGTACAGTTATGTACTTTGTATTTCTAAATATTTCAAAATCATGACTCAATAAAAGCAATTTATAGCAAGCCAACAGCAAACATCAAATTAAATGGAGAGAAACTCAAAGCGATACCACTAAATTCAGGAACAAGACAAGGCTGTCCACTCTCCCCATATTTATTCAATATAGTACTAGAAGTTCT